TTGAAGCGACAGTGAACCTAGCTGGAGGCTCTTCTGTCTGAGCCTAGTACGTGTGCGAAATCCAACTTTAGTGTCTTGCTTTGCTTTTTTCTTTGTTGTTTTTCCCCAGGATAGAAAGATCAACAGACCAGGTTATCAAGCCGGTGAACATGGAGGCGTTATCTAAGTGGATCGGGCACATCCCGGGGGATGTGCTGCAGGACATGGCCCACATCGCACCGATGCTCGCCAGGCTGGGCTACGACCCCTACGCCAACCCACCCAACTACGGCCACCCCGACCCCTTAGTTGTCAACAACACGCACAGAGTGAGTGTCGCCGACATGGGGCCGGGGCCTCAGCACCCACGGGGCCCTCTGGAGCAGAAGGGGTTGCTGAATCGGAAAAGAGCAGGGGAGAAACAAATGCTCTTGTCCTTCTGGGGGGCTGGGAACGGCAGACACGCGGTTACACCGAGATGGTTGTAAATCCGCTGCGGGCGGCAGGCTGAGCCTGGCGTGGCCCAAGCTGCTGGTGTCCCCTAGGATTCTGTGGCGGTGTTCATTTCTTCTGCTGTGGGAGGTGCTGACCCGTCCCTCCCGGATCCGGCCCCGCTCTCGGCCCCCGGCGTGGGAGGTGCTGGTGCGTGCTGGTGTTATCTGGGTGCGCAGCTGCAGGCAGCAGACGCGCCGGTCTGGCCACCGCAGGAGCTGCCTCCACGGTCCCACAGGGAGAGCCAGTGGAGCCTCCTAATGTCTTTGGGCAAAACCAGGAGATTTTTTTTTTGTAGAATATTGACTCACGTCCCTGGAGCAGAACTGGAAGGAAGAAGCTGCAGAGCCACAGACAGCAGTTACTAAACAGAAGCAGTTCCTCATGCTTTGAGGTGGACCGGTTCCTCCCTGGCCTGAGGCTGGCCCCTGCAGCCCCCCGGCTCTGCACGTGCTCCCCGTGACGGTGCCCTTGGACGAGGTGTCCTTCGTCACGCGGGTGGGACCGGTCCCCACGCCACCACGTGCAGACACGGGCAGGCAGGGAGGTAGCAGCACTGACCTGCGGGTCGGCGGAACTTCCCGGGAGCTGCTCCGTGCTCCGAGTGCGCTGGTCTCTTGCAGCTCCTCCACGCTCTCTGCTTGCCGAGAGCTGCTCTAGGACACGGGTGGTTTGGGTGAACACCTGCCCTGGGCAGGGTTCAGGACTCTTTGGGTCTCTGATGTGGACCTTTCTGTACTTCTTGGGATGAACTTGGAGAACTGGCACGATGGTGAAGGCCAAAAAGCTCTCCCCTCCCAGGCTAAGGGGGGAACCAGAGAATTGCTCCGTCGGTTCCCTGCCCCAGCAGGATGCCGCTCCCCGTCTTTGCTTACAGTCAGGGAGGAGGAACCCTCCCGCTTCAGCCCCAGTCTGGCACCGCGGTGTAGAACAAGCGCCCGTCAGGGTATTTCAGCTGGTTCTGGTGTACTGGGCCCCAGGACGCAGTTACAGGGGTGGGCTTGCCGATGTTCACGGAGCCGCTGCCCCAGAAGGGTCACTCCCGTTTTCTCTTTTCCATAGGTCTTAAAGGGGGATTACAAAACGCCAGCCAATCTGAAGGGTCATCTGCAGGTAAGAGTCTGGTGTCCCTTGGAGGGTTTGCCCCGGTTGGTTAATGCTGGGTGCCTGGCAGCCAGCTGCGGGAAGCGTCCCTGCTCTCCTGCCTCGATCCGTGGGGCCAGCGAGCCTGTCCTTCCCGCTGTGCTCCCACCCTCCACACTGTCCTGGCTGGCGTCCTGGGTGCTCTGTGCTCCTCAGACCCGGCTCGTTCAGCCCTGCCACCTCCTGCCTGGGCTGCCCATCTGTACAATTTCGTGCTGTGGAGCTCCGTGTTCACTCACCAGAAACCTGTGCCCTTCCTTCTCTTACTTTAAGACACTTTCTACCTTGCTCTCTGTTCCAAAACTCATGAAGTTTTCGTTACCGCGGGTCCTGCCTGCCTTCGGGAAGGGTGGCTTGTCTGATTCACGGGTTACAGAGAGGTCTTTTACTTCTTGTACTTGGCTGATTGTGTTCAAGTGTCAAAAATACACCATGGGGCTCCCTCCCTGAAGAGCAGTGCTGGAAGACAATTAATAACCACCTTGTGCAGTGCAGGGCAGTCCAGCAGCCATTGCACATGCAGACTTAAGAGGGGAAAAAAAAAAAAAAA